GTTAAGTGGTACCATCTCTTTTTTCTTTAAAATTTCAGTCACCTAACGTAGGCACGAGGTAATTGAGCAGGTATTGAATGCCTTCACCTTCTCATGGAAGTGGGTTTCACATCAGGTGTCAAGCATACTCCTGCAACAAATATTTTGTTTACTTCCCAAATGCTTAAAATCCACTGACAGTATGGTGTTCTGTTATCTTTAATGGTCATTATACATAATTTCCTTCTCTTCGTTCATTCCTTCTCTCCACATGTTAGGATACCAAAAACTCATTAACTTAAGTTCTGATAAATTGAAACCTGTGGAGTTTTTGAAACATTCTCTGTCATCTGAACATGCTAAGCAAATTTTGAAAGTAAATAAACTGTGTAAGGGTGCCCGTTTCATTTACTTAAGGAAATCAATAGTGCTTTGCTGAGGCACTATTTACATTCAAGTGACGGGTTAATTGCAAAGAGCTCTATACTATTATTTAGTTAGCAAATTGATGGGACAGATTTAGGGGACTGCGTTTCTGTTTACTTGTTCTTATCCCCACACAGCCACGTTTTAGCCACAGACAAAATGATTGATGCTAAGAGAGAAGGAACTAGCCTAGGGTCACACAGGTAGTACAATGTTACTGGGAGCTGGGATTTGGATCCAAGTCTTTAAGTTCCACCTTTGCTAGACCACTCTGTGCCTAACTAGTTTGAGTTGTATGAGTCCTTACAGTGCCGAGTCCCTGGTAGGCAAATTAAACCAACAAAGCAACTTCACCAAGAAAAAATTTTTGAGAAAGGATTAAATATATGCTATTTCAAGGAAATCAATAAAAAAAAAAAAAAAAAAAAAAAAAAACTTAGCAAGAAGTAAAGCTATTAATTCTAAATTGGCAAATATTACTAAATGATCTTTTAAATGTGTAAATATTAACTTTAATTCCCCAGATCAATCACTTAACCAAATGCATTTTAAAAACAAGATTTGTACTTAAAGTATGAAAAGCTTATAAATTCAAATTTATTAGAATTCACCCTACGCTAGGGTCAATTGTATTGCTAGCTGACAACTGTAAATCCCTCAGGGGGCTAGAAACAGAAGTAGCTATATAAAATCTATCAGCTGAGATAACAGCTGAGATTCGACAGGTCTTATTCAGTCACCGTCTTCATTCATTCATTACAGTGTTTTTAAGAAAACACCAGAGATTTTATTACTCTATTTTTTTAAATTTGTTAAATCAATTTTTAAGTAAAGACTTTAATGAGTACAGACTAACACTTCACAACCCCTAAGCACAGTGCCATCTCCCAAGTTAATTAAAATGACCAAGAGCATTTATAATCCATAGACTGAAAATATAGTCACTTTTTTAAAACCATCATTGAGATATTGAATAAAGGCTTAAAGTATATCAACGATGTACGAGCATTAAATACTCACTAGCTTGGCACTTAGATTTCTAGCATTATCATGCCTAAGAGAAACCTTACTGGGAAAAAACGATTGCCTATGATTTATTCCTATGATACAGAAAAACTTCAAAACACCTACTGGACAATGATTGGGAGGGAGAAGCTTCTGGAAACTGGTCATTTTAACTGTAACATACCCTCTTAGAAGTAAGGAGACTAACATTAGGCCAAGTAGGGACTATGCACTAACCAATTCCTCATGTCTTCTTTGCTCAGTCAGGCATTTAAATTCTCACTACAGAGGCTGCTCAAGTTGAAGCTATCCTAAGGCATGAGTGACTTATTAAGCTATATGCCAATTATTTTCTACATTGTGATTAAGATTCTCACATTCCCCCAAATTACTGCATCTAATTGGACAGTCCCTGTGATAAAATAACTGCTACCATGCTAAGGTCAATTTACACTTAGTAAATAACCTCCTCTAATAACCAACCATAGTTAATAGTTCTGTATTAAAATGAGTAAGTTTCTAGGAAAAGGCCATAAAGCTGTGCTCTCAACACAAGATCCTGTTCAAAATTTTCTTGCGTGACTTTAATAACAACAAAAAAAAGTCTCCTTATCTAATCTAAATGTGACCAATGCATAAGTACAATTAATAATATACACATCATTGGGACTTCCCTGGCAATCCAGTGGTTAGAACTCAGTGCTTTCACTGCCGTGGCCTGGGTTCAATTCCTTGTCAGGGAACTAAGATCCCACAAGCCGCGCAGTGCAGCAAACACACACACACACACACACACACACACACACACACACACACACACACACACACACACACACACACACATCATCGATTATCATTAGGCTAACATAATATGCCAAAAGTATCTAAATAAAGTTTCAAAGAGTTAAGTCTGTATTAGGTATAAAAAAATTATTTCACTAGTTGAAGGTGAAGAACTGGCTGGGCAGCAGTTCCTCTGAGAAATTAGTCTTTAGGTGTAACAAAAAGTCAAGACTGACAAGGCAGCTATAAAAACTAATGGAACTGTAGGTCATAAGCAGATAAGAAGGCATCCAAAACAAACGTCCTAAGGATAGTGAAGTGTCTGGAAATCATGTAGCATACTGAGGGGACCAGAGGTATTTAGCCTGGAGAAGATAAAAGGGAAACATCTTGGCAGTCTGCAAATATTTGAGACATCCCGGTGTAAAAGAAGAGACACGTCACATGCCAGTGCTTCTCAAACTATCTGCCATAAAGGAATAATTTTCTTTCCAATCACAGCACAGCTATAAAACACAGTGACAATATCATGGCAATGGAGAATTGCTATCAAAATGTCTAAATGATTAGTCTCAGTTTCTCAGCTTAATTCATTGAGAACAGGTAAACAGTTCATGGGCCCCCACTTTGAGTAGCTTTATTCCATCTGTATCAGAAAAAAGAAGTAAATCAAAGGGAACCATTACATGGGGCGTTAAACATCAGCTTGAATTCCTAGCAAATAGGTATGTCCAACAGTGGAATGGCTCAGAGCACTAAGCTCGAGAAGTTTTCAGAAGGATAATTTATGTCAGATAATCTATAAAATGGATTCCATTCTGCATTGGAAGGATGACCAGATTAAATCATTACAGACTCTCTACCCTATAAGCTTCTGTGAGGCCAATCAAAAACACACACACAAAACCCTTAAAGTAGCCAATAAAAAGTAATCAAAACATACTTTCAAAATCAGCTGTGATGTATTAGGTAGGACACACAGGAAATGGAAAAAGAGTAGAAAACTTGGGGAAAAAAAGAAAGAAAAACAAACAAACAAAAAAAAACTTTGGGACTTCCCTGGTGGCGCAGTGGTTAAAATCTGTCTGCCAATGCAGGGGACAAAGGTTCGATCCTGGGTCCAGGAAGATCCCATATGCCGCGGTGCAACTAAGACCATGCTACACAACTACTGAACCTGCACTCTAGAGCCCGCGTGCCACAACTACTGACACCATGTGCCACAACTACTGAAGCCCACGTGCCTTGAGCCTGTGCTCCACAACAAGAGAAGCCATGGCAATGAGAAGACCGCGCACTGCAACAAAGAGTAGCCCCCACTCGCCGCAACTAGAAAAAGCCGCAGCCAAAAATAAAATAAATAAATTTTAAAAAAGAAACGGGGGTTCCCTGGTGGTGCAGTGGTTGAGAGTCCGCCTGCTGATGCAGGGGACACGGGTTCGGGCCCCGGTCCGGGAAGATACCACATGCCGCGGAGCGGCTGGGCCCGTGAGCCATGGCCGCTGAGCCTGCACATCCGGAGCCTGTGCTCTGCAACAGGGGAGGCCACAACAGTGAGAGGCCCGCGTACCACGAAAAAAAAAAAGAGAAGCCACCACAATGAGACGCCCGCGCACCGCAACAGAGAGTAGCCCCTGCTCGCCGCAATTAGAGAAAGCCCGTGAGCAGCAACGAAGACCCAACAAGCCATAAATTAATTAATTAATTAATTAATTATTTTTTTAAAAAAACCAGCCCTTGCTATTCAAAAGCAAAAAAACGAGGATGCTTTTTTTCAGAAACATTAAGGAGCACCACTGCCATCTTAAATTCTCACCTCTTAGTGATCTTCAGCCACCAAGGATTTATCCATATTGTCTCTGCACCTATCTTACCCCTGACCTAACTGAACTACTGGCATACACTATTGCAGTCTTTTCTGGTTGAGTCAATCACCTTCTAGTGGTAACTACTTAAACCAGTCAGTCCTCTCCAACTACAGGCTTATAGGAATAAGTGTTCTCCCCCCGACATGCACTTTAAATAGTTGCAGAGTATCCAACCAAAGGCTCCTGCTGTTGCCTCCTTTCTGTACCCCTTCAGCCCTCCTCCAAATCCAACCCTCCATAATGTTGACCTAATACCCACCAACTGCATCTACTTCTAGCTTGTTGATGCCTTCTAGGTGCAGATGCTACACAGTAGTCTACAGTATCTTGTAACTGTCAAAGATGGCCTAAATCAGGCACACACATTCCTTTAGAATTTTGAATGGATGTCCCCAGGAGAAAGACTCCCATAAATGCATAGTTGCACTTGAAGAATTTTTTCACAGCTACTTTGGTACACTATTTTCCAAATTTCTAATCTAAAATATCACTGATAATGAATGACTCGTTCTCTTAAAAAGTGACTATCAACAGTGACATCAATAAACTAAAATACAAAACAATGAAAGCAAACCTGTTATAGAGAGGGAACAGCGAAACACACAGAAAAATAGCAGATAAGTTAAAGTGACAGAAAAAGAAAACTTATCCCTCAACATTAAGGAGTTTTTTAAATCACAGGAAGAAAACAGATCCACAAAGTAAAAATCACCACATACTTGCCGGATTTCTTTCAAAATCAGAAACAAAATCTATCGAAGACTCACATTTAAACATGAGTACTTAGATTGTTACACTGTGAAATTTTCCTGGAATGTTAAGAAATCACCTGCAATGAGCCCTTTTCCAAAAGTTCTTTCAGTGGCATGAAGACTTAAAAATTTTTTAAGTATGAGCTCCAAAATAAATTCTCATTTCTGAGAAACATTTGAAAATCACCTGTTTTGTCTCTCAGTATTCTGTAGCTCCCTGTGGTCCCTTTTCAGGTGTTTGGTCAAAGACGTAAAGTATTCTTTTAAAAGATTCTGGAAAGGTTGCTGTTTCTCTGGACTAATTATCTCACTAGGAGGAAAACTCAAATTAAACTTCTCTGCAGCACTCTTTACTTTCCTTGGTACAAGTCCAGCAATATCATCTCCACAATGTCGACAAAAACTAATCACCACAGAAACGTGGGTATGGGATTCCCGATCAGCATTAATAATATTTTTTAGCTGTTCATAGATTACGGAAAGACCTTCCTTGTCAGTGAAAATCCCAACTATTGTCAATTCTGCAATGAAACGCAAATCAGTTCTTAACTTGGTAATGTTAGGTGTTTTCTCTTCTCTCCTTGCTTCAAAATGTTTTTTCCAAACCTGAAGAAGTGATGGGGCAAAGTCGGCGTAACGCTGGTGAAAGAGAGAGCATAAGTGCACAGCACAATTCACATCAGATATTTTTAGCTTTGCTTCCACAATAGAAGCTACAGCCTCTGCAATGTACTTGCTTAAATTTAGGCCATTAAAATCATGGGACAAGGAGTCTCTCTGTTGTTCTGTAATAGTTTTTAGTTTCTTGACAAAAGCGGTATTTTTCTTCAAACTTGAGTCTAGTCGGCTAAAGAAATTTTCCTCTGGTCGGTTGTCTGGAGCATTTTGGTTTCTGCTACGAAGTTCCTTCCTTAACTGATGTCGTTCCCAAGCCTCCTGATGAAGCTGAAGGGATTCCTCTTTCTCTCTATATAAAAAAACAAACAAACACGTAAGTAAAATACCCTGTATATTTTGAAGCATCACTGATGAATCCTGTAAGAGTGAAAGTCAATGAAAAGCAACAGAATCCAAGAGGGACAAAAGATGCAAGAGGCCCTTTCACTACTAAAGACATCTGATTAATGACTTAAGATAATGAGAACCCATTCTACTGATAACACCAAAAGTGGGAGAGCGGAGGATTCTGAATAACTAGATTAAAAATCATTCTGCCAACTGGCAAGCTAAATGGATAAAACACTTTTATTTGTCAACTCTAACTCAATAAAGCTGAAAAAAATAAATAAATGGATAAAACACATGATGCTTAATATGAAAAAACAAAGTAATACGTTTGAGAAACCTAAAACAAACAAAAGCATTGGGAAAACAGAAAAACAAAAAATGTCCACAAAGAATATTTTAATTAAAGAATAAACATTATAAAAGAACGCATTAAAATGTTTTGAGATGTTAAGTACCATTTCTCCATACTTCAACATTAAACAAACCTTTATTAATAAAAGTACTTGCTAGGTTTAGGTCTTAAAATTCAAGTGTAATTAAGAAAGCTTGTATAGGAACCAGAAGAACTATAGGATAAAAGCACTTTAATAAAAGGTTAACAGACTCAGTGTATCCTGAAAAGAATAATTAAAAACAAATCTACCTATGTTTCCACTAAAAAGATGGGACATGTTTAAACTGTAGAAGCAGTAAAATAACTTGGGCAGGAGTGGGAGAGTGGAGACAAGCTGACTTTGAGGTTTCTGAGATACCAAAATATGTAGTTTTAAAATATAAATTTCTAATAAAATAGATTTTCATCTTTCTGAGATAACCATCCCTGAGCTACCCTATAATTCTATGACTTTTCCACTAACAGCCACAATATGTTAACAAAGAGTTGCATCTACCACTGGGAACAGGGACAAGTGAATATCTCTTGGAAGCCTCCCAGCCACACAGAAACACAAGATTAGCAGTGAGAGTACACGTTAAGAAAGCATAACTCATTACATGCATGCACTCAAGAACTCCATTACCATCTTTATTAGAAACACTTTGATATATAATGAATATATATACATATACACATACACATACACACATACATACACACACACACACACACTCTTAAGGTATTTATTTATATTTATAAATTTACAGGTGAAATAATGTGATGCTTTAAAATACTCCAAAGGAAAAGAATGCAAATTGTTGATGCTGCATAGATGGGGAGGGGTGGTAGATCATTTCATTCTGCTTTTTGCATCCTTGAATTTTTCCCAGTAAGAAGTTGGGGTTTTGGTTGCTGTTGTTTTTTTAAGCTCTTTGTATAGTAGGGGTGAGAGAACAAAACTTACAGTGAAATTAAATATCCTTGTGAATTGTTTTTTTAAAACTAAAATAGAAAATAAGCAAGAAACTCTCAAGAATCATGGTTCTGAATATTCCAAAACAGGTTACTACTACTGCTTTTCAGACCCAAGGCTCCAGTTCCTCATTAAAAACAGAGGTACAAAAGAGCTTTGGTAAGAAAGTAGGTAGCTGAGCTGTTCTAGAGATTCATGAAAATTCATGTTTGCAAACAGCTTTTAAATTATATATATGAAGGGATGAGCTCATGCACTATTCAACAACTGTCATTTCTGCCACATCCTGGTAGTCTTCCCATGAGGACTACCTCATTTTTCACCAGTTCATTATATCACTTGCACAGATTTACATGGTTAAAAATAGATTTAGATAAAGATAAGAATGGGAGGCATTATGGAATTGTACTTAAGGACAAAAGTTTTAAAGTCAGCCCAGCATAGGTTCAAATCGCAGCTGTTCTACTACTTACCGTGACCTTAGGCAAGTCATTTAACCTCTTGAAGCTTCATTTTATTAATCTGTAAAACGAGGATCACAGAGCTCACTTCATTAGACTGCCTTGAAGACATGTACTGATACAATCGTAGTGCCTGGCATATAATAAGAACTCAACAAATAGCAGCCATTTAGAACTAAAGATTTTCGGGAATTCCCTGGCATCCCAGTGGTTAGGGCTTGGCACTTTCACTGCCAGGGGCCGGGCTGGATCCCTGGTCAGAGAACTAAGATCCTGCAAGCCGCATGGCGCGGCCAAAAAGAAAAAACAAACTAAAGATTTTCAACTTAGAAAGATGGCATAAGGTACCATGAAAAAAAGCTTTTTTAAAAAACAAAAACAGCCCAGATTGCCCCACACCTCAAAAAATACTTATTAAAGAATGAAAGCACTGTAAGCATGCCGCTCGTCAGTAAAACTAACAGAACAAGTAAATTAAGATACTCCCAACTCTCAGGAAACTGCACCCTGGAAGTTTTATTTCAAATAATCACTGTTTTTCCAAAACATTCCAATCTTTGCATTCCTG